CACAAGTAGCGATATTCGGGAAGTGTAAAATATATTTCGAAAACGCGAAGATACGTCCCTAAGCCTGGGACGTCCCATGGGACGCGGCTTAATGGCGTCCGTTCGCCTCCCCTTTTATCGCCAGGTTCGCGGATCCTTTAACAGGAATGCATGGGAAGTCGAGTTCGAGACACGTCGAAGTCGTTCCCCGAGGAAGAGGAGGAATCGCTGGTCTTATAAAAGAGCTACTCGCACACCTAACCCGATCCCGCGGCGACCCACGGGCAAAGCCGTTCGAATTTATGATCGCTTTAATACGCCATTGAATCAATTCGAGCTGAGCGGGCATTAAAGTACGCGTAAACTTAGGCACCCCGTCGCATTAACGAGCTTGACAAATGGCCGGGGAATCGCGCGATCCGGCTCTCGGATCGACGGCTTTCTTCGAGCCCGAAGAAAGTCTTCCCTAGCCCCGGATTCGACTTGAGAGTGGTTCCAGGGGGATCCTGGAAATGTTAGAGCAGGTCAGTTAACCAGGGCTGAGAGTAAAGCGATTCACCTGGATGACGGAAATTCGAAATTTTTTAGAAAAAAAGGATATCCCCTGAGAGGAGGAATTTTTTTTTTTTAAGTGAATCTCGGCTCATCATTGTCAAAAATTCCTACGATGATGACGAGTCGTGTGACGGATAAGGGAAAATTTTAGGAGAGGAGCATCTTCCACGGGAGGATGCTTGGAATAAGAGAGGTATGGGATTGAGGGACTTTTTTTTTTTAAGGATCAAGGACTCCTTCTCTCGGATATTTCTACGTCTGTCACGGGGCTAAAAATCCTGCCGATCTTTACGAGCTAGGGTTCCCCGTGGGAGCTGAACTCCGGCCGGCATTTAAACGATCCCCGGTGCGAAGTGGTCATTAAAGGCCGCATGCTAAGAGTACAGAGTGCCTCGAGTGTCTCCGGGGGTAATGTTCATTGTCTTTAATGGTTTTAGGAGTCGCCCGATGGGCGAGGGTCTCAAGCTGTGCCCGTTGCCGGCGAGTCGCGGAATTGAAAAAGCACTCCGACGAGCGACACGCCGCAAATCGCACCCACGTCCGTGGGTGTACGCGTGTCATAAATGCATTTCCCAGCGGAAAGCGCGACCGATCCGGACGGAATTTCACCGGCGACAATTCCGGGTCGTTAATCGTCCGGTACCCCGTAAAACGGGAACACTTTTGTCCGCGAAATTCCGTCCCGGGCGAGCCCGATGGCACTCGAAGCACCTGACGTTTCGTTGCATCGAAATTTTGTGACGATCCCGAAGAGTACATCGCGAATTAGTCAGGTTAAACGCGAGCTCGAGGTCGACGTCACTCCGAGTTGACGATCTCGGATCGAGGCAGTTCTTCCAAAGTCTCTACAAGGAGAACAGGCGAGCTCCAGCTGCAACTTTACATGACAAACGCCGTACATTTGTCACACAATTGGCCATAACTCGCGCAAATCGCAACGCCCCTTGTAGACCGTCCGGCCGAACGGTAATCCGGGTCCTGAGCCCGAGATAGGGCAATAAAATCGGACAAACGACTCTTCTCAGGGCGAGGATCGTCCCGAGGGAAGAGGTAGAAGTCCAGGAGTCGTGTCTCATCTGCATGGGGTCCTGTCTAATTCGTCCACGGGACGTTGTCCTCTGCCAGAAGCTGGACCCAGGTTGCACGTGTAGCCGGATTCCACGGTCGATTGGGTCCTCTTCGGGTTGCTCTTCGAGTTGCTCTTCGGGTTCCTCTTCGAGTTCCTCTTCGTCATCAGTCTTCCTTTCCAGGGTCGATTTTTCGCCCGTCTACGGCCCAATTTCCCTTTTTTTCCTTTCAACGTCGGGGTGGCAGGTCCTCGCCCTGGCCCTGGGCCGGCAATTAGAAACCCATTATCTGCCCACGTTCGGCGTTCGCGAGAATGTGAGACCCCGATAATATGAGAATGCCAGGATGTGAGAGTACGAAAACGTGACGATGGGCGAATTCAAGGGCCTCCGCCAACAGGCGTCGGGGAACGGGTAGGTGCGTTTCGGTGTTTACCGACACGTAATGGTTCCCAGGGCGCACTTCTGCACCTCCTGACGGCGCAGATGGATGCTCTGCAATCAGGTGCGCCGACACCCTGGGCCATTTTAAATTTCACCTCCGCCGGCATCTGGCCGTCTACCTCGGCGAGAGGCCCTTCTTCGGGATCCTGTAATTTCCGGGCCCCTCTGTGCAACGGCCTTACGAAACGCCGAATTAAGGAACCGCAAACTCCTCACCCCCTCGAGACCAAGTGTCCCCAGAGATGCACTTCTGCGCTCTTCATTTTTTTTCCCCTATTTTTTTATCCTTCGAGAATATTACTCCTGTATATGTTTTTTTACGAAACCTCCATTGCCTATCATCGTTTGAAGAGAATCGATCCTTCCGGTCCTCCGGGTTCATCGTCGCGTAATGGCTCCCCATATGCACCGCTGCACCGTCTGACGGCGCAGATGGATGCACGCCGATCGGTCAAATGCTTTTTTTTTCTTTTTCCTTCAACTTTACAGCCGCGCATCTGTCGTCCTCCATTGACGTTTCGCGTGTCACAGCTCTGCCCTCCTTCTGGGCCATCAAACGGGGTCGGGGAATTTCGCGCCACGGCTCGTAAAAAGAATACCGCGAAGGCGGGCGTTTACGGAGGCGTAACACATTTTTCGCGAAAACGACCCCATGAAACCGTAGGCCCCCGACACGAGGACACTCGGCGCCGTTTTCATTGCCCCACCGTCAATTATGCAAATCGATCATTACCATTTCGATTATTTCGACCGACCGCGGTGTGACCGGCCGGCAATGAATTCACCGATACGCGAATTAGCGTATTGTTGCCGCGAATAGCGGGGCCCCCCCCGAGTACTTCCTTGATTATTGTCGGCATTAACTGCACGCCCCCGTACGTGTAAAATAAATCCAGAGTTAACGGATGACTCGGTCTAAACTTAAAAAAAAAGAAAAAAGATAGGAAAGAATTAAAAATGAAAGGATTCGATTAGTCGTGGCAATTTAAATAAATAAATTTAATTGAAGCGTGGATTTGTAGTGGCAGAAAATTGTGAAAAATATACACGCGCCAAATTCGAATAAACTCGGAATTAATCAGCGGGTAAATTGGATTATCCGACGATTTGAAAAAATTAGTCCCCCCAGTCCAATCGTCGCCTTTCCCGGATTTTCCTTGAGCCTCGGCAATTTTTCCAGCTTTTCCATTACGATCGCATTCTCTCTAACCCGGGTCAAGGGATATCGGTATTCCAGGCGAGGCTTGAAAGAGGCGTGGCGAGTTATCAGCATCCCGAAAATCCCGAGACGGTGATCTCTGAGCTTTCCGGGGCGAAGAGTCGTCTCGAGATGTCTGGGGACACACGAGTGGAGCGATTCCGCTGCGGAATCGCGGGGATTTACGGGTCGACACGCGGACCGACTGCCGATTCCCGGGGAATGACTTTTCCACCCTTCCCTGGGGGCGGTCGGCCCCCCTTCGGGAAATTAGCAAATCTTGGGGATCCACGGCGTTAATCGACCGGCAGGCCCGAGGGGGAGAGGGCGACTTCTGCGGCGCAGCTTTCACGCAATTTGCCGGGGCGAAATTTCATTTGTTCCCGGACGAGACGTGCGTGCGACACCCTGGAACCCCCTGAAACCCCCTGGCCCCCGGCTAGGGGTGGAAGGACTCGCTAATCCCGTCCTCCAGGCCCGTCGAGGTGGGAACCGAGGTCGGGCTTAGCCGGATTAATCGGCCTCGTCTTGATTCATTCCGGGGAAAGCCGTGCTCTTCGGCACCTCTCCTTAAGGACTCTTCATGGGACTTCCGCCAAAAATCCCGACGCAACCGCGACTCGAAATTTTCACCGCCTAACTTAACGCTTCTTTTGCTCCTGTTTCACTCTTCGCGTCCTACTGCTAGGTCCTAATATTTAGATCCAATGCTAATCAAAAAATCTGCTTTAGGTCTAGACATAGAAATTAAACTATCTACCGTCAAGGTATTAGGTCCTTACATTACCCCAAGACCCGTTTATATCTTATAATCCTACTTGTATATAGTATAAAAATTCCAACTCGAGCTCCCATACAGAGAAACTGAAAAATCCACCTCTGGGAAGACCCTCTATTCTCCCTCGCGTTTTTCTTTTTTTCTTTTATCGAACAAGTTGTAGTTTCGATGATGGAACGAGAGACCTCGACGCCGGACTCGCGTGCGTTTATAAAATCGACCACGAAGACGCGACCTGGAGAACGTGCCGCAGGGGGTCCTCGGACGAGGAGAAAAAAAAGAAACGGTCAAATGCGAAATCCACTATAAAACCGCCGTTTGCTCGTTTCTTTGCCGAGCGAGGCCGTTTAGCGAGGATGATTTGGTGTCGAGCAGTTTCCTGTTTTATGGCGATATAAACAATGAGAGGTGCCACACACCGCGAGGGGCGAAATGGCACCGACGAAAAGGCCCCAGCGTGGTGACGACAGGATATGAAGTCGGGTCGAAAATTGAAAAAGAAGTCTTTCTCGACAGGGGATCCATGATTGCCTCTTCAAGAACTCAGGGAACCCGTATTTGTAAATTTTCTTTCTATTTTTAATTAATGGTACAATATTAAGGATCGACGCCGAGTCGAGCAGCGAGTAGAGTCGCGGGGAGTCGTTCGGGTCTCCCGGAGTTAGGATAATAATTCACCGCAAAATATCCACGGGCCTTGGGGAGCCGAATTAGCGCAAATGCAGCAGCAGTAACTGTGCAGTAATTCGGTACAAGCGTCCCTCTGCAAATCTAGTGTGCATTTTCCTAGGGTCTCTGCTAAACAGTTACGGGCAAACTCGAGTCGTTAGGGCGGATCGATAAGAACTTGCCGCGGGAAGTTGGCGCGGTTATCTCGGTCCGGCGAGGAGAGAAGTGCCGCAGGCCGGAAGCGCCAAAAATGCGCGTGCTTATCTGTGTAAATAGTAGGGGCAAAGGAAAAGAAAAAAATGAAACTGACCCTTCGCGCCTCGGTATCCTTCCTGGGGACCACCTGAACACGCGCACAACACCACCAAGCACAGAAAAGAAATGCAGGACAGAATTGAAAAAATTGAAAGGAATCTTTTCAATTCTGTTGAGGAACACACCAGAGGTCGCGGCCTCTTACGAGCCGGCGTTTGGCATCCCGTCGGGCCGCGCGGGTTATCAGTCACTACCTATCGGCCATAGCTTGCTAGTTTCCCGCTGTGCGGTTATCGGGAGGACCACGCACGGCGGCGCACACGCGAGCACCCGAGAAGACCGCAGGAGCGCGTGGGACAACGTAGCGTCGCGGCGCCACGGCACTAACTGACAGGCCTGACGAGCGCCGCTCGCCGGTTGGCCGGAGGAAGCCAGCGAAGGTCGGGCCTCGCGTGCGGCGCCCTCGTCGCGCCGCCGCCTGGCGGCCGCCGCCGCAACTACTCGTCGGCGCGCCACCCCAGTACGGCGCCGGCCGTGCTCGAGTCCACCTCGCGCATGAGCGGTCCACCCCCTGCTCGGAGGGCCGCCTTCGAAAAATTAACTGTTTTCGGACATTTCGAAGGCATAGCCTAAATGAACTTTTTGTTCTTTTTAGATAACCCTCCTGATTCGGAACTCTGGACTTTCGTAAATGTTAGCTTCCGAGTGGGAACCACCATTTTTTGTGAATTAGAGAAGATCATGAGTCAGAGTTATCCAAAACGCTGATTTCGAATTTTTAAATAAAATAAATTGTCGTCATGCCCCCAAGTGATGGCGAGGAGTGGGGGGATGCCCGCGTGGAGAGAAGGGGAGCGGACCAGAGGGGATGCAGTTGCAAGGGGGTTGCAAATATGTTATAGAAATGGGGTGGCCGATGAATGCAGCCGACTTACTCCGCCGCCAGGGATTTTATTGATTTTCGCTCGTTCCTTCTTTTCTCCCCTCTCCCTCGACACAACGAGAGCACGCCGGGCACGCGCCGCTAAACCTTTAATTGGGGCGGGGGAGGGTAACGAGAGAGTCGCTGCTTGCGGGGGGTCGACCTCGCCAAAGGAACCCGATTAATTGGGGGAGGTACCGCGGTTATCGGTTTCCCGGGGAAAATCGGAAAATTCAGTTATCGAGAATTTTCGGACGCGGAGGAAAGATGGCCCCTTAACTGGCATTCCGATCAGTGCTCGACCTCACTTTGTGGGATCATTTTTCGTCGCCTCCAACAAATTTGAGAACAAAATTGGATTTCCGGCGAGGCATGAGCCCACGGGTTAAGATCACGAACCCTCGAGCCTCGTTTACGAGGTACCCGGGATAAGATCCTGGGGAAGAGAGGCAGGTTAGGAACCTGAACCGAAATTCGGTATTTGGATACTTTGCAGACGAAACGTTGCCGATGACGGCGATGACATTCTCGTGATCGGCGGACTAGTCCGGGTCGTGGGGCCCGCAAAATGGCCCAGCGACCCGAGAGCTACGATTCCGACAAAGGTCCCAGCGACCTTTTCGCTCCCTCCAAGCTCGTGTCCCGAGGCGTCCCGGTTCCCTCTTTGTCCTCATGGGCTGGACCGGGAAGATGGCGGCGCCGTGACGAAAGCGATTCGCCGCGAATCCCGGGCGCTCCAGCTGGTCCCCGCAGGTTCGTTTCTTTCGTCGACGTCGACGGTTAACTTCTCCCGCTGGAGGGGCTTTGCGTCATAGTGGTGGTAACGATACTACAGACCGCAATGGTATTGGTAACACCGGTGCAGCAATGACCCTGCCATTTCAAGATTGGTACCCTGCTACTGCAGGGTAGATGCGATACATATCCGTTCTCGGTACCACTACCATCGGTCCAACGTGTACCAGAACTTCCGCGGAAAAAATGTATCTTGCAATAATTCGCTAAGAAATCCAACATTTCTGCAGAATCGATGCCGATACTCTACGGAATTTCCGTGGGCAAAATTTTTTCTGGAAGAATTCATGAAGAAATCGATCACTTCTACCGTACCGGTGTCAATATTCTACCTTTGGTACCAACTCCTCAGCGTCGATTTAACCTCGGTACCGGCGGTGATACCAGGAGTACCACTTTGGTACCACTTCTGCAGCACTGGCATAAACCTGGTACCACCGGCACGGTAGAGTTCCTCAGCCCCCCGGAGAGAGGTTGGTACCAACTCCGGAGGTCTAATGCACCCGGGGGTTACATTAGCCGGATTTAATTTAACCCGTCGGTGCGACCCGGTGCACCTACCTCGAGGTGGGTGACGGCTCGCCGGGTACGCAACGCCGTCGCGGCGGCACTTTATTGTAATTGCGCTGTCGCGCAAACTCGAGGTACGTCTTGAGCCACCGCGCGTTTCGCTAATGCCGGGCCGTTTCGCAGCCGGGCGGGACAGCTTCATTAACGGCAAAAAATCACCGGACGAGCCAGCCCAACGGCTCGCGAGGCGTCGCCCGTTAACGCCGTTTACACCGATCGGGTCGTTACGAGCCGCGTGGAGAACCGCGTTCTCCACGGGGAAAGATTGCTTCCCCGGGGCTATTATTCCGGATTTTTAACGAATGCATCCGTACTTCCTTTCTTTTTCTGGCATTACCAAGAAATCACTAGTTAACGCCGCTATAGGCGCCACTTCGCGACATTGTTGCGTGACTGCACGAGAGACCTGCACCTACGTCGTACCGAGTATACCGAGTAAGAGGTATGCAGTTACTTGCATTTCTGCATTTTTTTATCCGACGCCTCGAACATGACGGTCTTACAACTTCGACTGTTTAAAGGGACCTCCCGGAGGAAGGACATTCCGAGGATATTTCCGATCGCCGCCCGACATGAGAATTCCATGGGGCTGAGAGAAATGAACGTTTGCTTGGAAATTATTTCCACATCGAAATGATAACTTTCGGTGAACAGGAAGTCGCGATTTGGATGTTTATCGCGATGCAGTCGCGATGACTCCAGGGAACGGTTGACGTTGCAAAAGCAAAATGAGATTTGTTGCCCGGAGTACATTTCGGTTGTGCACCGGGCGAATGTAACGACGGAAATAAAACTGGCCCTGGAACCCCGTGGAGTTGATGTAATGCTTTTTTTTCTCCTGCTTTATGGTGGCCGTAAATCTTACGGGCCCCGGGGAAGACGGGCACATTTGGAGGGGTCTAGCCATGGGAAGTTCACGTGGTGACCGTGTCTATGGTCATCGACATGCCGGACTTCCTTCGCACGTCGTCCATCCTGGGCTCGTTTAAAGCCCTGAAGAGAGAGCCGAAGAGTGCCCTTACGAACCCTCATTTGTTACAGCAAATGGGTGTAACTATTTCTCGTTCTGGAGCTGACGAAACCTGCGATGAAAGCAACACATTGAACGAGATCGACTACTCCCGCCACCCTATATTACCGATATTAATTATCAAAATGAAAGGAGATTTAAACATTTTAAATAAATACGTAGGAACTGACGGTCCGACTTGTGCCGAAAAACGTCCCATTTTGGATTTTTTAATTTTATGCATCTCAGCGACGATCCGATGCACCCCATCGAACTCCTCTCGACCGCGGAGATCCTTATTTAAAGCGGCCGGAAGATTTGTCCAATAAAGATCCCTTTTTGGGACTGGAGCTCGAAATATCCGCTTGGGGATAAAAAAGGAGCACGTCCCGATACCCTCTCGGTCATAACAGGTCGGAACCCCTCTTCATTCTCAGGCTGGGATTTTATTTCCGAGAGATTGGTACGCGTGGGTGTATCTTGGCATCGCCGTCTACCGAGATTCCGCGTAAGTTACGCGGCCCTCGGATTTGGAGGAAAGTACGGCAGGGGGAAAAAAATGAGGGAGGACGAAAATTAAAAAGGACGAAATGGAAGAAAACGATCGTACCCCCGTTAGTACGACTCCTCGTAAAATATAGATATGGGTTATTCAGTGACGTCGGCTCGTTAGCGACGGATCGTCTCTCTCGCTCTCTGTCGTTCCCTCTTTCTCCCCGCCCCCGGCCCTCCCTGTCTTCCTCTATCTGTGGGAAACTGCAGCTCGGCGTTTCGTCTCGTTTCGTATGCAAATAGAAGTGCGCCATCGAGTATGGACCCTCGACCCATTACTATCCCGGCCTACGTCGATGCCAGAAGTTGCACCGGTACCTCGAGTTGCATCTGCACAGAGTTGTCGTTGTACTTCTGCAGCTTTCGAAGCATTGCCAGATTGATGGACTTGGCCGAGGACGGAACTCGGGAATTCCTCGGCATGCCGTGGAAACGTTTGATAAGGTTCAATACCCCTCCCTCCCCACAAAAAAAATATAGATGCATATCCTGAGAATGAAATGCCACCGACCCAAGGAAACATTTCTTTGACTAGTACCAAAGAATATATTTTGACAGTTCAAAGAATAAATTCACTCAAATAGATTCCAATAAATTGGATGCATCGTTAATTCGGAATTATGACAATTTAATTTAATTTAACCAAATATTTCTTTGGTTCAAAGAATTTTTTTTTTCTCAGGGCAATAACCCAACTTTTCCGACGTATTATCAAGAGTTATGTAATTTTTAATAATCAGGCAGGATAATAGCGGATGAGTTTTTGTTCGATGACACATCTTAGATGAGTAGGAGTGAGTTCAAGAAATTTCCGTAATCCCGGATGCACGTGTTATATGTGCAAGGCGGTGCCCGTAATCCAGCTCGAGATAGATACAACGAAATCCGGGAAACAATTTATGGCTGATAAAGGGAGTATCTCTCGAGGCGGCTCTCGTCTCCGTCGATAAGCTATCTATAGAAGTCGGGATAATACTGGCGGCCCAATATCGCGCGTTACAATTGACACGCCGCGGGAAATAGGAGGCTTTATTCGGCCGCTTATTCCGCCTCTCTGCCATAATGGCCCCGGCAATTCCACGTGCCGTCACGTGAGGATTTCTCGATTCCGCAGTATCCCCGTCGGGGAGACTTCCCCATGGATCCAGAAGATCCCTAGACGGCGGACTCCCCGACAATGCGCACTTCCGACGCGGTACAGAAGACGCACGTGCGTGCGCCAATCCATTACCCCGATTGGCTTATTGAAATTTCCACGACCGACAGCGAATCGATGGCCCCTTCGTTCGGCCACATTTTCGGGAGGACTAAGTACTCCCGACGAGATACTTGCACTTTGGGTGCGTAAATTCCAAGCTTAAGCGAAGCCGTGGGAGAAGGCTTTCCCCGAAAGCCGAGGCAGCACCCCGTGCACTTGGCGCGAAAAATTCCCCTGGGAGAAATCACGGGTTAGCGAGGGAGTTTAATTTATCTAGATGAAAATTGATGTCTTTTGAAGGAGAAAAAAAAATAATTAGT